GGTGGGTCGCGGGGTGGGTCGCGGGTGGGGTCGCGGGTGGGTCGCTGGTGGGACGACGACGACGACGACGACAACACACAACAACAACAACAACAACAACAACAACAACAACAACAACAACAATAACAACAACAACAACAACAACAACAACAACAACAACAATTACTAGCACGTGGGGACACTCCGTTCTCACCAGTGCCAGGGTTTTCATAGGAGGCGGGCAATACCCCCACTTTGTGGGGGGGCCGGTTCAAGCTCTACCAAATTTCCAAACGACTCTTCGCCACCACCCACACCCAGCTTCCCGCCCTATGACGTTCGGACACTTCACTTCGTGGCATGCGGACGACCGTGGCTACTATTCAGGGCCCCGCGGCCGACGACGACGGCGTGCGCGCGCGAAGAAAAATCGAATGTGTCCCGCATGGTATTATTTGACAGGGATGATGGCCCTGGCAGGTGCGCAACCGTTGTTGCAGAAGTTTGAAAAAGTTGCTCGCAAAAGCCCGTTTGACAGAAATGTTGAAAAAGTGTTGGGTTTGTACGAATCCGCAAGAGCGCGCGGGATGAAATGTTGACATTTTTTTTGAAAAAACCATTGGTTTTTTGATGTTGTTATGTTTAAATCGTTACGAAAACAAAGGTTTTGGAAGGATTTCGTCTTGCGCGCGCGAATGTCCACTTTACCTCATTTTTTGCAAGGGATTAGTGAAGTTTGGTTAGGTTGGAACAAAAAATGTCCACTTTAGCTTATTTTTTGCAAGGGAAAACCGCCCGTAACAAAACAACCGGATCCGGACCAACCCGTTTTGCTTGAGACTTCCTCACGAAAATGATGAAAACGTGGCTGCGGCCTAGGCGCGGCGGGGGGGCCATGCACCAGGGGTCCCAACAATAATTATTCTTTAGAAGTAATAATGTTCAACAACAACAAAAACAACAACAACAATAACAATAACAATAACAATAACAACAGCAACAGCAACAACAACAACAACATCAACAACGTCAACCACAACCACAACCACAACCACAACCACAACGGCAACAATAAAAACAACAACTGCAACAACGCAACAATCATAATCCTCACCATGGCCTTCCACTCCAGCCACGCACCAAGGGACAATGAAGGTCCGTTCGCCCCCTCACTCTTGATGTGTATTTGCGTACATATGCATGCGTGTGCGCATACATGTAGACAGCTCCCTATCTATATGCAAGCACGACGTGCGGTTTTTGGCAGCTGCCCTCGCTGGGCCCGCGGGGCCGTCAAAGAGCGCCCCGGGGCGAACAAGCACCCGGGGGAGGGGAAGGTCGGGCTCTCCCGGGGAGGCCCGTGTTCCACGAGGCACGACACCGGATGTTGGGGGGCGGGGTTCGAGGCTTTGGTCGGGGGTTGACGGAGCCCCCCACTCGCAGGTGGTGTTTCTCTCCCCCATATCCCCGAGCTCCGCCCGAAACATTTGGCCGCTCAGGATAAAGGGGGACCCTGGGATACACCCCGAGGGGCTATTCGGACGCACCCCTATCGAGGCCCCCCCATCGTGTATCCCAGGGTTGGGCCCCCAATTTTTGGTGCACTCGAAAAGCCCCACGAAGCCTGGAATGGGGGTCGACATTCTGCTAGACATAGCCCCCCATCCTGTCAGACCGATTCGCGAAGTGCATGTTCTGTCGGTTCTCGCGGGGGCGTTGCAGCCGCAACCTCTGCGGGCCTGCGAGCCCACTAAGTCTGGCACCGGGCTGTTCTCGACGTAGGTTGTCTTGCTACAGGGGGCCATGTCCACCCCCGACTGGTCCGAGGGCCCAAGCTCCCAGAGACGGCCCAAGAGGCTCCCGAGACGGCCCACGAGCTTCCCAGGGGGACCCCTCAGACGGCCCGAGGAGGCAAAACACATTGATGTTCCACTGGTGTTCTATGGCTTGTCGGGTGTTCGCCTTTCCGGGCCAAGATCGGCCGAAGACGGCTCCGGGGGCCCCCGTGACTGCCGCGAGACAGTCAGAGTCTCTGGGACGTATCTGGATTTGGGTTTCCCAGGAACCTTCTCGTGCGCCTGGACGCCTCTGAGGTGCTGCGGCGAGCAGGAGGGGGGGGCGAAGACCGAGGACGGTGCTGGGTTCGACAAGGCTGTCTGGACTTGCCGGCCTCTGGAGGCCGCTGCTGGGGCCCCGGGTGGAAAGCTCCTTCTCGGAGGGGTCTGGGGACCCATCTGAGCAGTGTGGCCTCCTGGCATCCTCCCTCCTCGCCCAAGACTTCGAGTCCCATCCAGCTCAGACCTCCCAGCCGTCTCCAAGGCCCAGGCACTTTCTGCTGGGGTCCACGCTGCAACCAAATCACGGCGTTGGGGGTGGGCAGGGGTCGGCGGCGCTGGACTCCCTCCCCATACCTCTTTTGGCACCTCTGGCGCCGCCCCCGGCGCGTTCCGCGCGCAGGCCCCAGAATTCTGCGCGGACCGACTGCGTTGCTACAGCGTTTGGTGTTCAAAGGGGGGGGAGCCTTGTACAAAAGGTCCCGTCGGAATATGCCCGCGCTGGAGTACAGAATGTACATCGGATGCTTCTCCCCACGGAGATTTACCCCCCGATGCCCCTGGGAGCCTGCGCGACAGCCACCGGAGCCGACGATCGCTCGGAGATGTGTCCTCAGACGTCTTACAGCAAGGTCATCGCCTGCACCTGCCGCCAACGCTTGCCCTCGACGGCCTCCGCAGAGGCGGGGGCGGCGCACGCGAGGGGTTAATTCGGGGGCCCTGCCGGGCCACAGAGTCCGACGGCAGCCCGCGCGCGCCCCCCGACCCGAGACGCGAGGAGTGTGACCACCCCCGCGGCAGGGGGCCGACGAGTCCGCGGCAGCGACCAGGGCCGCGCAGATCGCGCGCCTCGCCCCCCCCCCGGAGGTCGCGCCCTGGGGCCCGAGGAGCCACTCGGGGAGCGGTGGAGCCGGGGTGTGTCTTGTCTGCTGGCCCTCCTCGAGGGCCGGAGGGCATTCCATCGGGGGTTGACGGACCTCCTGCGCTGACGCGTCGATTATAGCGGATACGCTGACGCGTCGATTATAGCGGATTGGCCGTTTGCGGATCTCGGGAGGGCGTCGCGGCCGTCCTTTTTGCAGGTCCGGGTCCGTCGGTTTCGGTCCTAGGCCGCTTTCACTCCAGGGAGGTTTGACTGAAGGGATGCTCGTCCACCGCCGGTTCCAGGCGGTTCCACAGTCTTTGGAGTGGGGGGCGCCTCGGGGTGCGGGAGCGGGAGCGGCGCGCCCTTCGCGGTGCGGTAATAGGGTCATCCGGCGTTGGTGACGCCGGCGACGCCGGCGAGGGCGTTCAAGGTGGAACTCCGCACGGTAGAGCGACGCGAAAGCACCGAGGGGCACGGTGACGCCACAGGACCCGACGGAAGTCAGCTTTGAACGCTCGGGGCCACGATCGGTTCGAGGTTGAACGATCGAGGCGATGTCAAAAACTTGTGCGCGCGCCGACGCCGCGCGAACCTACCGTAAGGGGCTGGATTTCATTGTGCGCACGAGGGTTGGATTGCCTGGGTTCGGCAGGCGTTCGGCCGCCAGCGGGGTGGCATTGGGATGGGGTGCTTATAAAGAAGCCTGGATTATCCATATCCACCGCCCCCTCCTCCCTTCTCTTCGGCCTCCTCCACGACACAGTTCCTTCTCGTCGGCCTCCTCCCCCATCCCGCCCCTCCTTCTGCTGTGCGCTGGCGGTTGCTGCTCTCTGGCGTCGGCTCCGCACATCGATGCGAATCTGCAAGTTGCCGTCTCACCTTACGCTCGCACTGGTGCAGTTGGGAACGTGGTGGTTGGTGCGAGGGGAGCAGAGAAGTATCCACTGCAGCCTGCCGCGCCCATTTTGGCACAATCTTCTCGCAGCCCGGTCAGCGAAGGTAAGTGCTACGCGCTCGTGTGCCAGCCAACCCCTGGCCGTTTGCCGCGCCCGTGAGTGACTGGCGCCGCGTGTGTGACGTCCTGCGGGACCTTCACTTATGCCTGTTGTTTTAAGTCGGACCTGTCCCTCTACAGGAGGAGTATTCGAGAATAGTCAAAAATAGTCAGGGGACTATTTTACGGAGCATCTTTAGACCATGTTGGAGCATCGTTGGACCATGTCTGATTTTTCGCCCAAGATCCCCCTCTGGGGGGACACGCCCGACCTGAGCCCGGTGCCTGCTTGCCGCGCTGCCCGCGGGGCACTGGATTCCTGCCACCGCGCGCGCGCGCTCTCGCCCTTGGACGCGCAGCGGGGCTCTGGCGCCAGCCCCCGCGGCGGGCGGCAGCTTCCCCGCCCAGCGCCCAGCGCCGCTGCACTCTCGCCCGACCGGGTGGCACGGCACCGAGGAAGCGCGTCTGACACCGGGTCCGCGTGTCGGGCTGGATGTCGGCTGGCTCTGGGCAGACGTGATGTCAGAGTCCTCCTGCAGCGTCCGCAGGCAGAGTCCCAAACGGGCCGCACCGCGCACCTGGGCCGCAATCCTCTGGCCAGTCGTGACCATCTCTCTCTCTTACTCTCGCCAGCGTGCCGCCGTCGGCCACCGGCAGTGCCCCAGGGGGCGCGGGCAGCGTTTCACTGGCGGCGGCTTCGGAGGATGGGCATGCGCGAGAAGTTCGCTCTGGGTCTCCCGGGTCGGGTCCGAGCAGATGGGGGTCGGAGGACGCGCCACATCGCCGATGCATCGGCGATGCGGCTCGATTGGGAGCTCAGTTTTCTCCACTCGACCGTCGCCGATGCACCGCCGACGTCGCTCACGCATCACCGATGCGTCGGTCATGCAACGACGATGCTGCGCGGTCCTCATACTCCATCTACTCTGACCCTATCAGTGAGGTCTCTTTTAACAGTGAGTTTCTGTGACAAGCACCAGCTGCTCTCGGAGGTAGAGCAATGATCAGGCAGCGTCGGCGGAGGGGAGATAAAGGCAAAGCGAAGGTTGTCCACGGAACACAAAAGGCGAAATTCGGAGGCAAAGAGGAGGCCAACGAAAGAAGGGAGGCGCCGGCGCCGGCAAGAAGTGGCGGGTTGTTTCGCCATGCGATGCAGCAGGCAGCGGCAAGTGGCGACGTGATCTTCAGTTCCAGAGCCCACGATTGGCCGGTACATTTGGTCCGTAGGCAGCTTGGTTGCAGCGCCTGCCGCCATTCCTTAACACTCCCACTCGCTCATACAGTAGTATGTGTTATTGAGTTCTTCCGTCGTGATGAAGGCCACAGTGGCCCTGCTTGGGGTGACACTGAGGCATGGTGTGGCCCTGAAGACATGGAACCCAGATGAGGGCAGCGTTCGCACCACTGCCAGTTAGGAAGGGTGGCCAGCGGAATATGACCCAGAGGGTGCCGATGTACAGGCATGGTTGGGTCCCGAGGGCAAGGCGATGCTCGAGCAGCAGATCGCAGAGGGGCAGGCGGCCTTCTCGGCCAGCCTGGGGGCAATGGACGAGCTTCTCACCGTTTCTCGGAGCCAGGAGTTGAGTACAAGGCCTAGGGAGATTTCTGCAATATGCCAGATCTTCAGCTTGAGCTCGCAGTCGTGCAAAAGAGTGCCAGAGTATCTAGGCCGTCTCGCTACGATCAAAGAAAGGATGACGGTGAAGGTGTACGAGATCAAGAACACAACCCTTCATTGCGACAGCTTGTTTGCAATCGGCATTCTTGATTTGTGCAATGTTCACGCAGACACGGCTGCCGAAGTATACAGGAACGACATATGTAACGCGCTGATGCCGTCAAAACAACACATGTCGCATACCCTTCAAGGAACCCATGGAGCACGTTACCTTAGCCACGCGCGTGCCCTATTCAAATTTGGCGATCGTAGGGATGCCAGTGCGTGCCACCCCACCTTTTACAAGACGCGCCTAACGAGCAAGCGTGATGATAATTACGTCCTGCTGGATCTGAACCACGCTCGGCACTGGGGCGTGATGGCTGCTGTTCCCAGTTATGACATCCCGTGGGGGTCGAAGTCGGCGAGGGTGGTTTGGAGAGGGGTCTCAACAGGTAAATGCAGTGCGACCGCTGTTAACTCGCGCATGATGCTCTGTGACAGATGGTTCCGGTCGTCCGACGCCAGGATTGACGTGGGCATGACAAGCATCGTCCAAGGCTGTGGCGAGGCGAAGAAGTTCGTGAAGCCTGGGATGTCTATGAAGGGAATGCTGCAGTCGAAATACATCCTGGTTGTCAACGGCAACGACAAGGCCTCTGGCTTGAACTGGGCATTGTTATCAAATTCAGTTCCGTTCATGGTCGAGCCTGACGTTGAGAGCTGGCTCCTGGAATCAAATTTGAAGGCGTGGGTTCATTACATTCCAGTCAAGCCAGATTTCTCAGACCTCAGCTCGCAGGTTGATTGGGCGGTGGAGAACGATAGCGAGGCAGAACGCATTGCCAAGGCGGGGAAGGAATACGTCAGGCAGTTCGGGAGTGCAACGGCCGAGGCGATCGTACAAGCAGCAGTCTTGACGGCGTATCTTGACCGGGTGAATGTTAAAACTGGCGGGTTGAAAGGCCATCTCGAAGGTGAGTGTTCCGAAGAGTAGGCGTTGATATGAGGCTGCTTAGTTTCTTGGTCATGCATACCCTGATTGCAGATTCCTTCGACGTACCTACTGACCCGCATGCAGTCACGTTTCTTCTCGTTTTCTTCTGCCATGCCATCTCTTTTTCTCTTTCTTTGTCTCCATCTCTCCTGTGTGTCTCGCTCTCTCTCACTTTCTCTCTTTCCCACCCTCTCAATCTCTCTATCCCCCGTCCGCTTTTTCCTCTCCCGGTAGCTGGCGTATGGATCACGATCGGTGTTACTGGTCGTGCTGCCAGGTGTCGCCACGCTTTCGACCAGTGTCGGCTCCTGCCTTCAGTCTCCACGTCTCCGGGCTCGTGTGTCGCAGTCTGATTGTTGCAGTTGATTCTCCATGCTCGATGCTCCTTGCGAAGCGCGCCCTTGCGTGGTGCTCTGTAGCGACAGTGCGCTCGTGAGAGAATGGTTCGGGGACGCCGGCCCTGCGGCAGCATGCCTGGGCTGCCTTTTCTGGCCCTGGGCTCGCGAGGGAGAAGAGGAGGAGGAGGAGGAGGAGGAGGAGGAGGAGGAGTAGGAGTAGGAGGAGGCGGAGGCGGAGGCGGAGGAGGAAGAGGAGGAGGAGGAGGAGGTTTCTGGGCGTGGGGAAAGGTCGGGTCTGCCGGGGACCCCGCACCAAAAGCAAGGACTTCGGATGTCCGGCAAGCCAGGACCTTGAGCTGCAGAGGGTCCAGCCTGGCCAGATTCGGTGACCGAGCAAGCGTCCGAGGCCTAGAGGTTAGCACCAACACCACTATCGGCGGTGTGCCTCCACCGCGGGGAGACGATCCCCGCTCTCGACGATGGTGGACCAACTCGGGCTTCCAGGTAGCCGAGAGACTGCCACCAACGCGAAAATCTAGGATCGTCTCCTCCCCAGGCGGACGCACCCCCCCGTGCTGGTGTTGGCGCTCATCCCCCAAGCCTCCATACAGACGAGGGGCCTCCCCTCCGCTGCCTCTCGCACCAGGGGGCCGAGGAAGCAGCAGCCCCGCTCCTGTGGGCGGGGGCCCCGGCTCTCTCCGCCTCCGGCCTGCCAGCCGCGGTGGGGTTGTCAGCAGGCGCGTCCAGCGCGACCCCTCGCCCACCGGTGCGCTCGCACGAGGGCTGCAGCTCGTCGGCCCTGGCATCGCCCTCGGCTCTCCTGCGGCCCCAGGCGGGCCTGGAGGGGCCGAAGAGGTTCCACTCCTGGGCACGGCAGGGGCTGCAGATTCTCGAGTGTTGCGCGACGCGGCGCAAGGAAAGGGTCCAACGGAGCCGACAGCGGCGCGGAAGCTCCCCGCGTTCCGGCCGCGGCGTGAGCGCCCTCGCCTCCAATGCAGCACGCCGCACCGCCGGCCCGCGTAAGCCACCGCGTGAGGTCGCCACGTCGTCTCGCGCAAGGCCCGTCTCGATCGTCGCCCGACGGGGCCCGCGCTGAGACCGATGTGGGCCCAGTGTGCCCTCGATGGAGCCGTCAGCAGTGCGCCTCGACCCCGGAGCGCCTCGGGGCGTGTCAGCAGCTGTGCTCACTCAGGAGGGGAAAAAGCACACAGGCACCATGAATCGCCCACTCCCAGGAAAACGCGGGAAAATATCTGGGAAGTGGGGGGGGAAGACGAAAACCCAGAAACATACAAGAAACAATAGGGAATCCTTTCACTATTGTGTATCTATTGGAGAGGCCTGACGGCCGGTGCCGCCGACCCTGATCGAAAGGGCTAGGAGTGGGAGGAGGAGGAGGAGGAGGAGGAGGAGGAGGAGGAGGAGGAGGAGGACGGGGAGAGGAGGAGGAGGAGGAGGAGGAGGAGGAGGAGGAGGAGGAGGAGGAGGGGGAGGGGGAGGAGGAGGAGGAGGAGGAGGAGGGGGAGGAAGGAGGAGGAGGGGGAGGGGGAGGGGAGGAGGAGGAGGAGGAGGAGGAGGAGGAGGAGGAGGAGGAGGAGGAGGAGGAGGAGGAGGAGGAGGTGTGTATTTATTTGTGCGTCCCAGGGCCCCCTTCAATCGCCCCGCACCCGCGCAGGGCCTCTCCCGGCGGGGGTCCAGGACGGGCGCCGCGCGCCAGGGAGCAGCGGGGCCCGCATCGGCCCGTCGAGGGACGGGCGGCGGTGGCTGCCGACTCCGCGAGGGGCATCGGCGCTCTGCCCCCAGACCCCCTCATGAAAAAATTACGACGGAAGGTTTTTCGCTATTTTCGGCCTCCTCCTCCTCCTCCTCCTCCTCCTCCTCCTCCTCCTCCTCCTCCTCCTCCTCCGCCCGAGAGAGGGCTTGCCCCCTCGAGTCATGAAAAAATTACGACGGAAGGTTTTTCGCTATTTTCGGCCTCCGGGGGCCCTCACCGGCCCTCAGGACCGGCAAAAAACGACTCGGGATGAAGAGCCGGTCCCGGGGAATGGGTCCGGACCTCCTGGGGGTCGCGCCATGCAAAGATCATGACGTCGGGGGTCTGGGCCCCCAGGCATCCCCCGATCCGATGTCGTTCCGCACGTCACCGCCCACCAAGCCACCCCAACCCAACCCGAAGGTCTCGATTTGCCCTCCATTTCAAGGGGGGGGGAGGGGGCCGGGAAGCCTCGAGAAAACACATGTGGAACCCTTACCCCCCCCAACCCGAAATTCGGGTCTTCGGGTTGGGTTGGGGTGGTCTGGTAGGTAGTCAGTGCGCGGCCCGCCGGGTGGTCCTCGGGGCCATGTTTTTTGTTCGCCCCGGATCCGTTTTCGGTGGCCCCGCGCCCCGAAGGCGGGCCCCATAGAGGACCAAGGCGAGGGTTCCAGCGCCATTCGCAAGGGCTCCCTCGAGGGCGCGAAGTTATTCGCGCTTCGCGCTTCGCGGTCCTCGTTCCTTCTCCCCCTCCTCCTCGTCCTCCTATTCTCCCTTTGGGAGGGCGGCGCGAGAGCGCGAAGTTATTCGCGCTTCGCGCTTCGCGCAGCGCGAAGCGCGAAGTTGGGAGCCCTAGCATTCGAACAAAGAACATCTCGTCGGAGATTTGGGGGCCCCCAGATGTCCACGATATGCTCGGTCGATCGGCTGGTGATCTGCCTCGAGGCAGCGGCACTCCGCCGTTCAGCCCGCCAGGCGGCATGCACCTGCTGTGGAACTACGCCCTCGCGCGCGCGAGCGCGGACGGCGACCTCGAGAGCATCTGCCGCGCGATCCACGCGGGGGCGGACGCCACTGCCCGCCGCCTGCGCTGCTCCGGGGAGGTAAGCTCTCCGAGAAGCAGCAAGTCATGAGAATGATACGTTCCATGATTCTGAAGGGTTGCAGGGTTTCTCAGGGTTCGTGTTTTTCTGGTCAGGCTCTAAAACAAACGGCCAGCTTGTTACTGGTTGGTCCTTTCGTTGGCTTCTGTCCGCTCTGGCTGGCGTCTGCAGGAAGCCGTTCCAGAGCCGTCTTTTCCCTTACAAGAAAAGCAGGGGCCGCTAGATATCTTGGAATGCCTTGAACGAATGCTACGGGCTGGTAAGGCTTCGGGTTTGCACAGACAGCCCCTTCGGGTACTCCCCCCTAGCCTCAACAGGCCCGCCGAGTATTCCCGGCTGGCCTCAACAGGCCCCCCCCCGAGCAGCCTTGGGCGGCCTCACCACACACACACACACACCCACACACCCACACACCCACACCCCCACACCCCCACACCCCCACACCCACACCCACCCCCACCCCCACACCCACACCCACACCCACACCCACACACACACACACACACACACACACACAACACACACACAACACACACACACACACGCACACCATTGCCGACGCCAGCAGCGCCCCTGGGGAGCTCCGCGCCCAAGTTTGCGGTGTTGATACCGCCCTGAGCCGTACCAGTCCAGGACCCGCTTCTCCTGATCAGGACCCCTTTCCCAGAAGTCAAGCGACTCCGCTGACGTGGGCCCCTGGACCCCTCAACCCCGTCCTGGGGGCATGGCTCAACCTCCTGAGCTGCTTCGTCTCGCATGCCTCCCTTTTGGAGGTTGCAGGGGGGTCTGTACAGGATGGGCCTCGGGGCCAACCGGTCAGGAAGACTGGATGAGGGCAAATGCTCTAGTCGAGCCCAGCACTTCGAATCTGCCCCCCTGCCTGCTGGCCTGAACCAGTGCTGGGCCACCTTAGGCCCCAAGCCAGCTCAAACCTCCCTTCTGACTTCATCCCTCGCAGAGGAGCAGCCAAAGGAGTGAGAGGGGGTCAGCGAGCAGCAGGGAGTGCGGCGGGTGCGGCTTTTTCGTCGCATGGTCGTCGCGGTCGGAGGAGGAGGAGGAGGAGGAGGAGGAGGAGGAGGAGGAGGAGCCGGAGGAGCCGGAGGAAGAGGAGGAGGAGGCGGAGGAGGAGGAAGAGGAGCATGGAGGGGGTGGAGGAGGAGGAGGAGGAGGAGGAGGAGGAGGAGGAGGAGGAGGAGGAGGGGTGGCGGTCGAGGGTTGGGCTCGACTCCCTTGGCCTCCTGTCGGGTCCCTCCCTCCCTCCCCTCCCCCCCTTCTGCCCCTCTGCTCTGGCTCCGCGCCCCCCTCCTCCACGTCCCCGCCCCTCCCCCCCAAAGTCCCCTGTCCTCTCGTCCGAGGGGCACTAGCTCCAGCGCCGCGCCCCCCTCCTCCTCGTCCCCGCCCGTCCCTCCCAACTCCCCTTGCTCTCGTCCGAGGGGCGCTCGCTCCAGTGCCGCGCCTCCCTCCTGCACGTCTCCGCCCCTGCCTCCCGACTCCACTTTCTCGCGCTCGAGGGGCGCGCTCGGGGGGAACCCGTCCTCGCCCGGGGCGCCGGGCGTGGCTCAGAGAACGGGGCCAGGATCCCAGAGAGAGCGGCGCGCGGGACGCGGCCCAGAGAGGCGCCAGGAGGGGTCGGCGGTCGGATTGTATGGGTTTGGCGCCGCTGCGTTTGTCGGGAAGGCCCACCAGAAGTGGCCACCGAGAGGAATGTCGGGGGTCGCCTCCGCCAGGGAGAGATGGATGCTCTAGGAAGTGGTGCTGGTGGTGATGCTCCGGCTGCCTAGCAGAAGGCCAGAGCACTGCCACCACGAGCGACCCACACCGAGGACAATCCTCCACGAGCGGGATCCTACCCCGATGTTGGCATGCGTGCCAGTGTCTCGGCCCCGAGCCTCTGCCTCGAGCCCCCCTTGCCCTCGCACCGTTGCTCCCAGGTCCCCGGGCAGATGTGTGGCCGCATGTCGGGGGAGCGTAAGACCCGGGTTTGCCGGGACTCGGGTTCGCCATCGTTTTTTGACGACCGCGACTCGGATTTTGACGAGGAGGAGTTTTGTGGGATGTCTGCAGCGGGAGGCCTCGTCAAAATGCAGGCTCGGCCTCGTCATTTTTTGACGACCTCGTCGGGGATTTCCGAGTCCCCCGTACCCGGGTCTTACGTCTCCCCGAGCATGTGCAGGACGCGGCGCTCGGCAGTGGCCCATGCCGTGTCGGCAGCGGGCGGGGGGCACCGCAAGCGCAAGCGGGTGGCCCACTCGGCGAGGCACCGCACCCTGCACTTCCTCGAATCACCAGCTCGGTCTTGTAACGCACCTGTTTATCTAGGCTCAAGTCGGGCGTGTCCCCCTATACAGGGGGATGTTTGACGAAACATCAAACATACCCCCCACATGCTCCAAACATGCGGAGAACATATCAAAAATGGTCCCCGGACTCTTTTCTACCATTTTTGAATTTTCCCATTCCCCCCCTGTAGAGGGACAGGCCCGACTTAGATCTAGGTCCTCCTCTCCGTTCCTCCCATTTCCACCAGCTGATGAATCGGGATAGGGGGCACGCTTCTCCTGTTCATGCTCCACCACACGGGCATCACTGCCCCCCTCCTCCATCCGTCCTCCTCCTTCTCTCCCTCCCTCTCCTCGCCTCTCCGCCGTGTTGGCTCAAGATGCTGGACGCATGGGTGTTTCGCGCGGAGACCTCTGACCCGAGGCAGTCTGTCACTGCCTTCGGCCTGGCCCACCCCAGGTCTGGGGCGGGAGAGAGCGCGCTCCGAGCCAGTAGCAGCAGGAGGCTTACTGTACAGTCGACCCCGCACGGGAAGGACTGGCAGCCTTCCCAAGGGTGCCCTCGCATCCTTGCCTCCTCGGTCCATCCTCGGCCACTTTCATTGGCCGCGCCCCGCTCGGAAGTCCTCGAAAGGGGCGATCAAGACCCTTGCACCCTTATCGCGCGTCCTCACGAGACGGGTCGACTGCGGCGTCGATGCGCGAGGCAGTGGCCGAGCGCGACGACGGCGGGCAAGGAGCCAGCAAGCTGAGGCCGGCCCTCGCCGGGAGACGGCGCACCCCACAGCGCACTGCCTGCAGCTGCCCGTGGGCGGTGTGCATCCGCAGGCGAGCGCTGGGCGCGGTGGCCGCACCCTCGCGCAAAGGATGTGTAAAACGACGCGAAGATCGGGACAAAATCGGATCGGGATAACCCGAAATCTCTGAGAATTGGCGGGTTTGGAGGATGTATTGGGCGCCGCGGCCGCTCCAGAGCGTTCCGGAACGCTCTGAGAGCGCTCCGGAACGCTCTGGAGCGATTCATCCCGATCCTAGCCCCGTTTTAGCGTGGGGAGCATGGCGCCCGCTCGACGCGGAACTCATCCACGTCTGAGTGGTGTTCCCTCCCCACCCTCTGCTCGGCGTCCTTTTCCCTCTCTTGCGCGCTGGCCAGTTAGCCTTGCGGTTGCTCCGAATAGCCACACGCTGGAGCGGACTGCCTCTGCCTCGTCGCCGACGACATCAGTCATCCAAAGGCGACTGCTGGCGCTGTTGGCGCACCCTCGCGCCAAGGGTGCTGGGACCACGGCGAGACGACGGAGGCGCCGCGGGGGCGACCTGGAGGCAGCAGTCACCACACGTTAGGCAGCCCTGATGCGGCAGCGTGGCACTCGAGCGCAGCGTCAGCCTGGCCCTGTCCCATGTTCCCGCGGTGCGCCCCGGGTGGAGGCCGAGCGCGCGCCGGAGACGTGCGCGGCGGAGGCCGAGCGCGCTGCGGAGTCGTGCGCCCGAGACTCCAGGGCCCAGAGGCTCCTCCCCCTCCTCCTCCCCCTTCTCCTCCTTCTCCTCCTCCTCCTCCTCCTCATCCTGCTCCTCCGTCGGCTCGTGGTCCTGCGACTCCACGGCCAGAGGCGCTGGGGCCTCGGACCCCAGGGCTCCGGCCTGGGTCGGGCAGCTGCCTCCAGGCGCCGGGCTTCCTGGATCCGGGGAGCCGAGGCCCCTGCAGCCCCGCTGCAGAGGAACACGCGTGGGGCCTATAGCTGTCCGTGGCGTGCGACGCCTCGGCCTCGCCGCCCGTGCTTTTCCCCGCGGCCCCGGAGCCCTCTGGCGCCTGCCCCCTATAGCATTCGCCCTGCCGCTCTAGCTCCCCGGCCTCGGCCTGCCGTCCGGGTCTTTGCGCCGCCCTGTGCCCCAGCGCGGCATCTTGGAATTCGTTCCGTTCTCGTTTTGTTTTTGTTTTCCGCTCTGAAGCAGGCCCATAGGATCTCGCCTCCCGCCTCAGCCCACCCGTCAGCCGTAGCCGCGGGCAGAGTTCGTTGTTCGTGTTGTGGTGGCCAAGGTTAGCCCGAAGCCTCGTCATTCGCTGAAGCTCGAGGCCCTAGCCGTCGCCGCAGCCCTAGTTCGTTTGTCATTCGTTTTCGCAAAACCCTCAAGCGGGACCTCGCCCCTCGCCCTGGCCTTGGCCGTGTAGCCCTCGCCGCAACTCTGGTTTGTTTTTCGTGTCTTTGTTCGTTTGTTGTCGCATAAGCCTCGAACGAGACCTCGCCGCTCGCATCAGCCCTGGCCCCGCAGCCCTGATCAGTCGTTTTTGTTTTCGTTGATCATCCGTTGTCGCGCAAGCTTCAAACGAGACCTCGCCCCTCGCGTCAACCCTGGCCCTGTAGCCCTCGCCTCAACCATGGTAAGTTGTTCGTTTCGTGTTCCGCGTGTTTTCGCACAGGCCTCAAGCGACACCTCGCCCCTCGCATCAGCCCTGGCTTTGTAGCCCTCGCCGCAGCCCTAGTTCGTTGTTCGTTTCGTTTCTCGTTTGTTTTCGCAAAGCCTCAAGCGAGACCCCGCCCCTCGCCCTATCCCTGGCATTGTACCCTCGCCGCAGCAATAGTTCGTTTGTCGTGTCGTGTTTCGTTGGTTTTCGTACAAGCCTCAAACCGGACCTCGTCCCTCGCCTTCGCCGTGGCAACGTAGCCCTCACCGCAGCCCTGGTTCCTC